AAATATTATTATAATTATTTTTAGTAAATTTGGATTCGGTTTTTATACTTGAAATATTTTCAAACGACCTGTACACATCGTGACGTCAATCCACTGACCCGGATAATATGGTTAATGTTAATTTATAAATAGATCGTCTAAATACAACCACTTTGCAGACTCTTGAATCATCAAAACGAAACAGTCGGGATTTAAATATTTGGGGCATGTTTTCATAAATAATAATAGGTCAAATTAGGATTATATTCTATGTACAGTCAAATTTACGACGAAGGACGAGGTCCCGGCTCTATTGTATTAGGCACTTAATAACACCATCATCGGCTGTTACGTGTATGTGGAATATGGTGTAATGGTTGCAGCTCCTTACAAACGATTTGAGAACTGGCAGTAAAATTAGAAGCATTTAATGTATATTTCTCTTTTAGTATACCTACATTGTGTTACCTATATGAATAAATGATTTTTGACTTTGACTTTACGACTATCGGTTTTTACGAACAAATATGAGCAGTCCCTTCGATGTCGTTATAAACAGATTTTGACTGTATTTAAATTGAGCTTCAAAACGAGCTCTTACTTTACAAACTGACTTATGTTAACACAATAAATGAGACGTAAATTTTAACGTATCTATTGAATCTAATCTTCCTTAACAAAGAAAAAGTTTGCGAATCACATAAACAATGTTACAAACAAAAACAGACGCATTGTCGAAATTTTAACTCAATGGAGGAATTTTCCAATAGAAAATAAAACGGCTCACATTAAAGAACTCCTTTGTTGCCAGGGAACAATGGGCTCATTTTGAATGGACAGGGTAAAAGTATCTTTTCGGTTCAACGGAGATTAATTATTAAATTCAATATATTGTGACGAAACCTGCTAACTTATACAATCCTAGTAGTTTGGCTTATGAACACACGTTACACAGAGTTGGAGATGCTCCTGAGACCGAAGTAGTTAGTTACATTACACTCACTCACTCACACGCACTCACACGTGTATATTCAGGGGTGTTGTAAACAGTTAAAAAAAATGTTATGTAATCTACTATTAAAATAAAATAAAAAATAAAATAAAATATGTTTATTATGGAACATAAGATACATGTATCACTTATTCCACTTCATTAAATTTGAAGGCATCCCTACTCATCGGCAAAGAAGACAGAGGGTGTAGGCCGAGAGAAAAAGCCGGCGTAAAAAACTCTCGGTACTCTTTTAAAACAGCAAATCATCAAACAACACTTATTTAAAACAAATATCGCAAATTGATTAGAAGTAGCCTGTCTAGCACTAGTCCCAGGCCCTTTTATCAACTAGATAATCGTTGACTTTATAGTAAGCCTTTTTACACAGCTTTTATTTAATACATTTCTTAAATTTATTGAAAGGCAGTGATAAAAGAGCCTCTGGGATTTTATTAAAGAAGAGTATCCCTTTCCCCAAAAAAGAATTACTAACTTTAGATAGTCTAGTACGGGGAAATTGCAGCCTGCGTTTATTAAAGTTTGTTATGGAAGAGCTGGGAACCCTGACATAGGTATTTTACTAAAAAAGGTTCCCAAATCGGACGCAGCAGAGTTTTGTACAGAACAAGCTTGTTATTCTTTCTGAGAAGTACCTACCTAAGTTATTTAGGAGTGCGTAAAAATCCATGGATTCGTCAATACAAATCAACGTGTAATCAAATTCTACTATTCGTATATACTACAGGACTTGAATGCTTCTTCAGTAATTATTATTTTACTAACATCTTATATTTTCTTATTCTTTTTAATAATAGTGGTAATACGACATAATTTTTACTATGAAATTATACGAAACAAAAGCGAAAGGAAAAAAAATAATAATGAAGAGCAAACATAAATAGCAATACTTTAAAATCCCTGATTCACTTTAGGCGTGTTTTTGAAGGTTCAAAGTAATATCGTGACGAAATAATAGAGAAGGAATCTTTCGTTTGGTCCAAATAAAGTACAGTCCAGTCTACACTAAGGCAAAGGAAACATGTATGTCTATATGTTCCAGTCATGTTTCGTTGTTTTTGCAAAAATACGTTATGAATGTCTCTTTGAAACCCAGGCTCAACAGCCTCATCAGATCAATGATGATGTTATCAGCTTGACAAGAGCCACAGAGGCAACATGGAGGCATCATAACTACTAACTAGTATAAGCAAAAGTCAAGAAATCCCCACGGACTAACTTTACATGTACGGTATCGATTTTTGATATAACCATCAAATGTTATTTTTCTAATTTCGAAGCAAGAAAATCTGTCCTAAACAAAATTCGTCATATATTATACAGCACATGCCACTGACACAAACATGACGATGCAATTTTAAAACTGTACTAAATAAAATGTTGTACAGTTTTGGGGGGCTATATTTTCCACTAGTAAATGTCACATCAAGTCTTCTGAAGGAATAAAAATCTGGTAAAAAATTTGGCAAACGGTTTATTAGTCCCAGATACTTCACAACGAACTCAATTGACGGGTAAACACGGTAAGACAGACAAAGTGTATGTAGAACGAGAACTAGGCACAATAACGAGAAAGCACGACCTGAATTTTAACAAAAACAGAATCTGCAGATAACGTCAAAAGTTAGTTTGTTGGCATCAGCCGTTTAATTTCGACATTAGGGACATCTGCTTTTAAAGGCTTCTGCTTGGTTCGACATTAAGGCATTAAAGGCACTAACCAGTAATAAACCCGTATTAACGATAGAGAACTTTAGTGACATTTCATGCAGATGTACATTTACTAGGGAGTCAAAGGGCAGTCCTAGAAACGAGTGTCAAATTATTACTGTGAGGGTTAAAGGCCGATTCACACATATCAGTGAATCCACAGTTCCGTCAACGTGTCCGCTCAGTTCAGTATCAGGGATACAGTATTGCGTCAGTCATTCAATTCACACATTACGGAGCTTCAGTTAAAACGTGTCCGTCGTCAAGTAACATGATTATGGCTCTGTTCAATACTACGGAGCTAGCTATGATAGCTGTTGCTTTAGACGAAGAAGAAGATCAGCATCAAGGAAAAAAAAAGAAAATGGGTGCATGAGGCAATTAAGAGAGACGGAAAGAGAATTCATCACATTATACAAAGAATTAGTAAAAGATGAAAAAAAATATTTAATGTCGAGAGCTACTTCAATATCCTTCTGCAATAAACAAAATGTAACAAATAATAACGCAGCGTCAGTGATCCGACAAAAAATGTCGTTGTCAACGAATGCGTCCGTGATTGCCGGTGTCTTTACTGACACTGAGAGCACTGTATCGTCACTGACACTGACAAGTGGGGATGCGTTCATAGAGAATGTATGAAAGAATATTTCGCACTGTGCCGGTACTGTGTCGGAACTGTGGCTTCACTGATTTATGTGAATCGGGCTTAAGACCAGCGTATTTTTCTGCGCGTATACGGTCGTTTCAGCATACACGCGCGCTACAATACGCGCTTCAAAAAACCGGACGCGCGTAAACTGGCATATTTCGGCGTGTTCGCTCGAACCGGTAGTGGCGTCGCGGTCGTGTCAGTATCAACGGTTGTCGCGCTAATACAAGCTTAGAAGAAATGCTAGTCTCGAACCGCCCTAATATTTATTAACTTTAATTTTAAAAGGTTTAAACTTAGGACAAATTACTTTTAATATTAATAATGAGTATGGAGTCAGTAGTAGTTAATCTTTATATATATAACTCTTCTGTGAGTGTGTATGTCACTGAACTTCTCTCAAACGACTGGACCGATTTTGATGAAATTTTTTGTGTGTGTTCTGGGGATCTGGGAATGGTTTAGATTCACAAATCAGCCCGGCAGATGGCACTGCAATCGGTACTTTCATACTTTGCTTAATATCCTAATCGCTTTAAATATCATGCAGGACAACGTCTGTGGGGTCCACTAGTTTATATATATAGAAACATTGACAAATCAAATAAACATATATATATACAGTTATACGTTAGTTGACTGTTGAATTACTACATTAATGAAAATATATTAACGTCAGTAAACCAACAGTAAAATTTGGGATTCCATAATAATTTGTCAATGTTTCACAAACACGATGTTAATTTTTTTTGTTTCTTGTAAAATAAATATTGTTAATTTAACTATCTATTGAATAACCATAGTTTTCAAATATCCAAATGTGTCCTTTGAATAGTCACCTTAACAAAATTGTAACAAGAATATTTTTTATTTACCTAGCAAAAAAGAGTTTATACTTTATTGAACTTCTTGGAATGATACAGATTAAAATAGTTCTTTACATCCACAGAGAATTTAAAAGAATCTTACTTAGTTCTTCATTTAAAAGTTCAATTGAGAACGTTTCTTTTGTATTCTGGGACGATACAGTTTATATTGCTGATTCAATTTCTTTACCAATTTTAATCTATTCTAAGTATAAACACTTATAATGGATTGCCAAATATTTGCGCACTTAATTTATTTTCTACTGCTTTGCACAGCCGTTTACGCAGTGATTTATGTCTGTCTTCGTTTGCTGTTAAAAAAGAGATTTTTAGAAACTGGTGTTAATAGATTTTTTATCTCTATCAACGATTATTATTACGCGTTCGTTACTTCCTCTTGACTTGTATTTACTCCTTAAAAACCGACAAAAGTTAAAACATAATATTATTTTTAAATCCATCATCTGTCATCAGGTTGATTAGGTATTTGTTTTATTTAAAGACTAAGTTAATTTCTAGAAATAAGTTAGATTTATAGAAGAATATAAGTTAAACAAATGCGCACATAATATATGTGTCTGCCCCTTTTTTTATTTATCCGAGGTTGAAATGCATTTGCGTATTTGCCCCCGAAAGTTGCAGAGGTATATGAGACTCGATCCACACCAGAATCTGCTATTTAGAGACTGGGTAAGCAATACCCACTAAAACCACCTCAAGTAGTTCCTTGAAAGCCGCGTTACAAAGGCTTCGGGGTCGCTCTCGCATTCACCTCAACCGCATGTTACTCTCCGGGTGTAGTACACCCTACATAGGAGGTAGGAGTTGAATTGTATCTGCCGCAAGAATTATAATATTTGTTGTAAAATTTTCATTTGAATTTTCAGAAGAAATCCTGAAATCCCGTCAAGCACTTTGGATGTCAGCTGATGGTCACATGATGCTGTACGCCACATTCAATGATACACTGGTTCACGAGCAGAAGTACCCCTGGTATGGAACCGCATTGGACACAGATGACCCTTCAAAGGCAGGTTTTTTATTTCCTTACCTGTTGTATATCAGTAAAGTCCTGAAAAACTACTTGTGCATTTACGACTTTTATATATAATAATATCAGACAACTATGTCGTCCATTGATTATCGTGTACACACCACAATGTGGATCCAGCTGCCCACTGAAGTATTTCCGAACCAATTTGACTTAGGGTCCTTCAAGAAAAGAGCGTACCAATTCATCGGCAACGGCTTTCTGGTATTGGTAGTTTCCATAGGCGTCGGTATCACTTAACAGGTGAGCCCCCTGCCCGTTTGCCTCCTACTAAATAAAAAAATTAAAAGCTCTATTAGTAAAAACATCAAAGAAATTACTTTTATGGGCTGTCTCGTAGTCCTCTATCTTATAAAAAAGACCAAATGTTTCCTAAGGGGCCTGAACTTACTGGAAAGTGTGGTGAAATTGATATTGCTTTAATTTTTTATACATTTTTGAATAATTATAGATTTAGATTTTAATAGTTGATAGCTTCTAATTTTACAGACTTACCCGGAGATCAGATCAGTGAGATACCCGAAGCCGGGAACGACAAACCCAACGGTGAAACTGACGGTTGCGGACATAGCAGACCCGAAACATATCAGAACAAGGCATTTGACACCACCCAAAGTTATCATAGAAGAAGGGTAAGTTACACCCGACAAGGAATAATACCTGTTTGGTAATCGAAAAATTGTTTCTTTTTATTAATTAATTTAGTTAATACTGCGTTAAATTGATACAAAGTTGGTTCTGGGTTCAATGAAAATTCAGTCAACACGCAGTTGTCGAAATTTCACTTTTAGCGTAAGATTGAAGCCGGAATTACATTACGAAATTGCATCGCTTGCATGTGAAATCAGTTTCACGAAAGTAGTTTCGATATGTGCGATAGTAATTTCGTAAAATAATTAGTGCCGTGGAATCCACAGTATCGCAGTAACCATGGCCCCATCAGCATCACAGCTATATTTTTCTCTAGAAACTTAAGAAAATTTAATTTTTAAGAAAAAACGACGGTGGATTTGAGGATGGTACCTAATTCAAGAAAACATTTCGGTGCAATGAAGTTAGTCTCTGAATTAGCAGACGAAGTTCCTGAGAGCTATAAAAACTATTTTCGAATGAGTGAAGATTATCACTAAGTTTTAAGTCTTTATCATATCAATTCAGGGTAGCATCATGTAGTGGCATCAAAATACACACGTCCGCACAGCACGGTGCTTTCGCGACACTACTTTCGTCGCATCTTCATCATGAAATCAGTTGCATGAAACTAATTTCACCAAAAAATCGCGCAGGGCACGCAACTCATTTGCATTCATGAATTTAAGCATGCATTACGAAAATATTTAATTAAACTGTTGGTAAAACTAATGCCACGAAATTAATTTTATGCCACTAATTTCTTAATGTAATTCCTTTATTATTATTTAGAGTAAGCACTTGTAATACGGGTGTACCTGTACCTATGTCAAAAACGTATTGGATTTTAACATTCGGGAGTAACATTTCAGTTTAGACTTAGTACTAGTTGGAACTTAGTCTAAACTGAAATTTACCCTAACAAGACATGTTTCTAATTGTGTAATAGAAGTATAGTGTTAAAAATACTCCTTCCAGAATGCTTTGTAAAACTTTAATTTGAAACATCAATTAGAACTTATAATTATTAACAGCTCACTGCCTCTATCTAAATGCCCTTGTAGCGAAAGTTGTAATATAAAGTTATAAACAAAAGCTGTAGCCGTCAGGAGCGGTACTATACATGAAAATATACTGTTCTACCCTGGAGTCAGTCTACCCGCATTGTTCTAAGCTAGCTAACGTTGATAATATGGAAACGTTTGTTTGCATACGTACACATATTAAATGGCAGCCGTTCAGAAGCACCCAAACTACAATGGATATGGAATTCTATCGGGAATATATCCCTTTGACGCTACTCTTCTCTTTGAAGTAACTCTCCTTAAAGACTCAGCTAGCATCGGGATATGGCGTTGACATATCGAATGACGATCAGTTTCGCGGCTAAGAAGCTTGGTGTGCTCAGCAAGGCGAGACGGTACTCCGGGCTCCGGCCATCGCTTGCAACTCTATAAAGCGCAAATTCGGCCCCACATGGAGTACTGTTCTCAGTTGTATTTGAATCGTCAACGACCAGTAACTTTCCATGCGGCTTGATGCCTTGGCGTTGCGTAGAGATGTGGGGTATCTCTGCCTCTTCTACGGCATTTACCATTCAGAGTGTTGTTCGGACTAATACCTGCGGCTGAGTTTTATCGTGTGTAATAGTGTTTAATGCGGAGAAATTTGATTTACAAATTCATAGCAATTATTACTACAATAACGTGGGTTTCCAATGCACGGGCGCTAATTAAAGATAAGGTTGGTGTCTGGTAGATAGTACTAGAGATTCCAGAGCTGATGTTGTCCTCACGCAACGAATAAGTATTGCAATACAGCAAGGAATGCTGCCACTGGAACTAAACTTTTTCAAATTGTTTTAATTTTTTATTTATTAATTTTTACTTATATAAAACTAGCCGTGTCGCGCCCGCTTTGCTGGACGAATTAAAATAAATTTTATGTTTCATTATTTTATTTTTTTTCATATTTTTATTATTCTTCTTTTTAACTTCCCGCTAAGAAAATTGAAATATTTCGAAAATAGAGTTTTTAACAGATGTTGACGTTTAGAGGTTCTAGGAAGCCTCCCCGAATCTTTCCGCGTTGAAGTCCGTATGGATAAATTTTCATAAAAGTAAAACAGCAATAAAAAAATGAAGGAACGTTGGAATTTAATAAATAAATAGCCATAAACCATCTAGGAAAAATTTCGAATGGTGGTAGTTTCATGTCGATACGATCAGTGGTTTAGGCGTGAAGGAGCCTCAAACGAAGACCATTTTCCTTTTATTTATATATATAGATAAGGTTAAGAATATGTTGGAAATAAATATAAATTTTATCAATGAAAGAGGAATAAATTCGTCCAAATCTATCACTACATGAATTCATCATTCTTCGGTGTGTAGTCACGCCGTAACTCACTACGCATGGAGCAATTATGTTGTGTGGTAATTGTTCATCAATTAAGGCCCATTTAGATGGAGAGAGTTTCTCGCACGTTTTGGTGCGAGAAATCGTACGCGACTATTACCAGCAATAATCGCCATAGCATTATCAAAATGTTTACATACAGACGAGAACTGAATTCTCATCTACGATAATGTCGTGCGAGATTCGCCAGTGATTTATCGTTAGGCGATAATTTCCTGCGTCTACACATCGAAATTTTAGTAAGAAGATTCTTACTTACGAGAATCTCGACTAGTATTCACGAACTCGTATGACATTTTTTTATGTTCATACGATGATATGTTTTGAGTGCGAGATTATTTATTCGAGTTTAGTGATTACTAGGGTATTCGGGACACAAAAATCCTTTAAATTTGGCGCTGCCGATTTACTGAAGCTATGAGTGTTTGAGGAACACGGAAAATGAAAATTATAAAAACCATGATGCGAGAAATGCCGCTCTTAACGCATTTACGAGAGAGTTGTGTGTTGAGGGATTTGGATCCAAAGAAATAAGTGCAAAAACCATTAAAATATGAGAAGTCAGTATTTACAAGAAAGAAAGTAAAGTCATCTTTTTGGACTGGAGCTGGGGCTGAAGATATTTACGTGCCTAATTGCAATTCAAGGCACAATGTGTTGGATGCTCCAAAATTGTTTCTCCTAGCTATCCATTTTTTAACCCAACTTCTAATCTTTTTTTCCGTTTCCGTTTAATAAATTCTTGTCTTAGAAGAGCAGATATAATTAAAACACCCTCACGCACTGCACTCATGGTAGCCACTGGCACAAAACGTCAAAAAACGATTATTGCTTTTGAAATTCTGTTACATGGACACAATAAAATTTCCATTGCGAGGCAATTGTCGCCAAAGTGGAAGAGCGAGAGGTGTGAATGTTTAGACGAAGAAACTTTTCTATATTCTTTCGAAACGAGAAACTCTCTCCATCTAAATGGGTTTTTACAGTAATAACAGTAGTTAATCAGTCTGCATCTGACTCTCGCCGATTTTTGGATCACTGACATACCTACTGGTTTCCGATGCAGTACACATTTTAAAAGTGAAACTTCTTTAGGCGCATGAGGCGAACATTTTTACGGAACGTCACGAAGATGTGCAGTGTTTTTGTCGATTTTTTTTTAATTATTGATATCTCAACTAAAGAGTTTTTATTATCGAAGAAATAAATTAAATTTATTATTTGTATTAATTTTTGACACTTTTAATATTTTAATGACAATAATTAAATTAATTAAATTCATATCTTCTTTTTTCCAAACAAAACTAAAAAATTAGTTTAATGCCAAAGAAGTTTCACTTCTGACGTGTGTGCTTTGTACGCACGCACTTTTATTTAAATACAAATTGTCTGCACAAAGATACACAGAAAGTATAAATCCATGGGTCCGCTAACTCAGTGTTGACAGTCGCACTCCGGTATATTAAAGTAGAAGTATTACTTTAATAAAAAAGGCAAAAAGATGAAAATCAATTCTGCCATTTCCACATGACAAGCTATGATAAATATACTCTCGATTTACCTTAAATAGCTTCGCCGAGGGTTCAGCCTTGGACAGAACGCGCATAAAATACAAGGGATAACAGAAAAATGTTTTTTGCTTAGATAGTGGAGTTCTTTGTTTACTGATACTGGGTATTGACGCGTGAATCTCGGATAGTATAGTCGCTCATTTCAATGTAAAGAACAAATCAATCTTCATCATATTATGGAATCATTTGGGAATTTTGTTTATTATTTATTACAAAAACTAATTACCAATTTTTTTTTTAAATCAGTGGTGCTACAACCTCTTTATGTCTTGGCCTCAGATTTCTGAATCTGTTTAATGATCATTTTTAAATCTAATAGGCAAGTAGGTGATCAGCCTGCAGTGCCTGACACACGCCGTCGATTTTTTGGGTCTAAGACATGTCGGTTTCCTCACGATGTTCTCCTTCATCTTTCGAGAGAACGTTAAATACGCACATAGAAAGTCCATTGGTGCAGTCGGGGATCGAACCTACGACCTCAGGGATGATAATCGACGCTGAAGCCACTAGGCCACCTCAATTTCCAATTTTACGGGAACAAAATCCACGTAAAAGATATATACAGGGGGCCAAAAAGTCGTGGATCAAACGCAAATAGGGGATAGATGACGTCATCAGCGGCAAAAAATTGTTCTACAGGAGGTCTCTAAGGTCAACCCCTGCAGAGTTATGATTTATTTTGCGTTTTATAAGAAAATTGACTTTTTTTTTACTAATTCTTCTTAAAATTCGAAAATATCTACATCCTGTATCTTTTTCATAATATCCACTAGATTGGTACTGATGAGTTCTTGCTTAACACATACTATTTATAGTTGTTTATTGAGTGTATTGAAGATAATATTAAGTTATACGATATGATTTTTTTTCAAATCAAAACTTTTTGTTTACTTCGGACCCCACTGTGAAAAAAAATTACTCTACCGAAAAGTGACCCTGTATTACAAGTTTTGGCACATTTAATATGGATTCTGAAAAGGTATTACACATGGCTATGAGTCACTCTAATATCTTTCTAGGACGAAAAAACAACAACGATTCGGACTTATGATAGATTATTTACCTACATGGGAACAGTACTGTGTGAATCGGACTAGATTCAAAAAATTGGACAGATGGCTTGAGGGTTACGTAGGAATTTGATTAGACGGTGCAGATTAAGTTTTATGGTCAGAGTCAGGAATTTTGAGCATATTTTATTGTAAAATATTTTGTTTCCTACAAACAACTATTGAGAAATAATTGTTTTAATACAATTATTATTTCACAATCGTTGTTTGTAATTCTTCCTAGAAAGATATAAGAGCGACTCATGGCCACGTGTAATACCTTTTCAGAATCCCTATTAAATGCGCCAAAACTTGTAGTACAGGGACACTTTTCGGTGGAGTAATATTTTTTCACAGTGGGGTCCAAAGTAAAGAAAAATTTATGATTTGAAAAAATGTTATATCGTATCGCTTAATATTATCTTGAATACACTCAATAAACAACTATAAATAGTATGTCTAACGCAAGAACTCATCAGTACCAATCTAGTGGATATTATGAGAAAGATACAGGATGTAGATATTTTCGAATTTTAAGAAGAATTAGTAAAAAAAAGTCAATTTTCATATAAAACCAAAATAAATCATAACTCTGCAGGGGTTGACCTTAGAGACCTCCCGCAGAACAATTTTTTGCCGCTGATGACCTCATCTGTATTTGCGTTTGATCCACGACTTTTTGGCCACCCTGTATATATTATTGGTCAATATATAAGTTTTAAATCTGTTAGACCTGGTGTACAGAAAAACTGTGTCTGTGTTTCCACCGCACTATTGTACACTTATTTTTTTTGATTGATACAATAAATTTAAAAAATTATCACCGCATTAATTAATGAACTGACTTAGTTTCATAATTTGTATTGTATTATTTTGGTGTTTTGTTGGGTATACGTAACAAAAGAGCATTGTTGGCCTAGTCACTAGTGGCTTCACCGTGAAACTCTTATCTGAGAGATCGTAGGTTCGATCCCCGGCTGCGCAAGAACTTTTTGTCTATGTGCGCATTTAACTCTCAACGGTGAATGAAAACATCGTGAGGAAACCGGCTTGCCTTAGACTCATATAGTCGACGGCATGTGTCATTTATAGGAGGATCATACTTGCCTAGTTTGACAAATTATCATGAAACAGATGCAGAAATCTGATGCCCAGACATAAAAAGGTTGTAGCGCCACTGATTTTTTAATTGGATATACCTACAGGTTTTCGCATCCTAAAACTGATATTAAACCGTGATATATTTGTAATGTTGGTAATTGTATTGAAGCAAAAAATAATAAATTCCTCACAGATGATATTTCAAGATATAATTTAGACTGTGGTAGTAACTTACTAATATTATATGATTTATTAATGAATTAATTAATACAACAATTTACATTTGTTAATATTAGTAGTTGTGTATAAATTCTACAGAAAATAAGCCAGTTTTTTCTTTATTGGTGGTAGTTTTTGGATGGCCCCTTATAGGGTCATCTCTCTCTCTTTAATCGGCATCTCATGAGCGTCGGGGTCAACAAGAAAGAGTCTGGAGCGGACTATCTGTTTCCACCGGTTGCGGTCCAGGTCTCTTATGACAGTGAACAGTTTTGAGGACGATGAGTCTTTCTTTCTTGAGTCTTTCTTTTAGAGTAATAGCCTCCTCCATATTTTTTCATTTCTCATTTTCTTCAGCAAAATTCATCCAGTTCTTTCCCGCTATACAACGTATACAAACAATTTAGCTCAATTTCATTACAGTGACTACTACATCACAAGTACTCAGTGGGTCTCACTCACTGAAGTGTGCGTCGTGTGGCTGACTAGGGTTCAGAACTTATCAATTGTATCTGTCTGCAAGAGTCCCATGTGGTACTGTCAAGAGGTAAGACCCTTTAGTTTCTCAGTTTCAGAAAATAGGTATATTATTTTTGCCCTTCAATTCCCGTATCACCTCGACTAACCTGCAACCAACAAACTACAGTCTACTGCAAGCTTTTATTATATAAAAAAAACGAAGACGTGCGATCACTGTGAAATACATACATTAAGACGATCCAGAGAGATTCACACTAACGGTGTCAAAATAATATTGATTTAATTTAAATACTTTTGATACTTACGTTGCGTAGAGATAATCGTTAACACTAGCTTGGACCGAAATACTAAGTCTCTAATAAAACAATTGCATATTTCCTAATTGCATTCAGGTCTACCGAATAGCATCAGGTACAGAAGGTTGGGTGGAATCAGCGCCAACTCCTCTCTGGTCGGCTGGTGGTGGGGCTCTAGTTACATTGGCTCCCATAAGAGACGGACCAGCTGGTCTGTTTCGCCACGTGGTGCGGTCTGAACACAATTCGCACGGGCCTAGGGCTTTGCCCCTTACGCATGGGAGCTTCGATGTTGTCCGGCTGCTTGCGTGGGACCATGTTAATCAGCATGTGTATGTATCTTAATATTTAATTACACATATTGAGTATTTTATAAATGGCCATTATTACGCCATCTGCGCTTTCTACTCGGAAATACTTGTTCGCCAGGGATCGAATTCAGGATCTCCAGTTGCGTTTATCAAGTTACGGGGGTGTTTTCTATTATTAGTCTGCGTCATACATATATATTGATCTATTTCCCTTTACACCAACAAAAATCTCGAACAAACACAATATCAACTTAATACAAAAAGTGTATTTATTTAGGAACAGTATACGGTAAATAAAGGATAATATTTGTTGTGATAGTCTATGTTGTCAATGTACACACTATCAACAATGGTCAATTCAAACGAACTTTTATATAAATAAAAATATAGTGAGGTTATAACCAGCAATATGTGGAACCAGTGAGAGATTGAACGAAGTGAAAAAACAAAATCGAGATCCAGAGAGAATCAGACTAATTATGTTAAAATAATATTGATTTAATTTAAATACTTTCCTGACCTCTCTGCATCTTCTACCGCATTTACCAAGGTCATTGTTCAGAGAAGTTGTTCGGATTAACACCTACAGCTGAGTTTCATCACCTCGACATCCGTCGTTCCACAATTGAGTGCTTTTTAGGGCAGTTTGTGCCACGCATCACCACTGTGTGGAACCATCTTTCCAATGAAGTATTTCCGAACCAATTCGACTAAGGGTCCTTTAAGAAAAGAGCGTACCAATTCTTAAAAGGCCGGCAACACACTTGCGACTCTTTGGCAATGTGTGTGTCCATGTGTCCAAAGAATCAGTGTCACTTAACATCAGGTGAGCCTTCTGCCCATATAAAAACTGCTTGCGCACAGTATAAGTCCGCTATATATGTAATAAAAGTATAACAAAAAAGCAATCTTCGTACATACCATTAATAATTCTTAATCGATATGTTGGTACAGAAATGTTACCCTGACAAACAAGTTCGTACCTTAGAGGTGCAACCCCCAACCCCAACGGTGTACATGACGAGGCACCGGTGTCACAGACCCAGGTCAAAAGGTCCACGACTTGCCCAAAAATTAACGATTGTTAAACCAGGTTATTTTTGTAGATTCCTTTCATTTTCGGTATGAAGAAATTCGTTTCGACAATTTGTTATCAAATTCCTATGAATCGCAAAAGATTTGAGGTGCTGAGAGGAACCAAGTACACGAACAGATGCTGCAGAGACGTGCACACTATATTATATATTGTTACAGTTATTACCTGGGTATACCAGAAGGAAAGCCCGGTCAACGGCACTTATACCGGGTGTCGTCAGAGCCACCTCGTCCGGGAACGCCGCACAAGCTACCATATTGCGTCACTTGTTTATCTCATGTACGTAGATATGACTTGCTAACTTATAATTGTTTATTTCGTAATCCTACAGCTAATATAAATTAATATAACAAAATACCTCAAAATAAATAAAATATATTATTAAAAAGTCTCTTTAGGCAAGGTTCCGAAGACACTGGCAGCGACTTTGAATAGCTAGACTAATTCTTTGTCCGAGGTAGCTGCCAGCTCTTCGGTCTCCTGTGATGTCAACTAACCTTTTTGCTATTTCCTTAAAAAGCCTTATAGCTCTAGGACCCCACGGACCAAGGCTCTCGACACCGAATGGGACAAAATCATTTTTGGAGCCTAGACCCCTGTGTTTGCATGCTTTAGCTTTCCAGCCGCTTCACAAGCCGCACCAGCTCTTTTGTTGGTTCCATGTAGATGGGAAGGGGCCAGAGTTACCTGAACGAGTCGCATCCCATACCAGCACCCGGCCCATCTTCCATGGAATCAAACTCATACCGTCCGGTCACTTGCCATTGTCTCTTGCAATACCAGTCGGCACACTTGTAATTGATATCACCAGATCTTCACAGTGCAATACGTGTACCGATGATATGACGGATAAGGCCGGCTATATCATTAATTTAAGCAGTGTTGGCCTAGTGACCTTTCTTTGTATATGCAAATAATACTGGCTCGAATGGTAACGGCAAACATCGTGAGAAAAAAGTGAAACCATTTATTTCAATTAGGCCTTTTAAAAGGCACAAAATCAAAATTACAACTTTAAAATGTTTACAATAGTTTTGTATACATTGATTTGATAATTATATGTGAAGACCATGTAATTAGACATGACTACTGTACTTAAATAAAATAGGTGCTTGGTGTTACAAAAACCAATACTGCAGATAGCTAAATTATTATGTAGATACATGATGCTCACATATTTACTAGACCTAAAGATCAAGGACGTATTATCACAAAACAAATACAATTCTTAAAAGTACGGCAACGCACTCGCAATCCCTCTGGCATTGGGAGTGTCCATGGGTTGCGGTATCACTTGCCCGTTTGCCCTCTGTTCTATAAAAAAAAGGGGTGCGTGTACTTATGTACGCGCGTAAGAAGTTATACTTCTTTGGCATTATTAAAAATAGTTTTTGATTGCATGCAAATAATTAATTACAATTAAATAATCAATGACTGGAAAAGGAGTCATTAAAGTCAATAAAGTTCAGTTTACATTTGAAAAATTAATTAAATAAATATTTATTATTCTCTTACATTAAACAAATAAAACACTATTTATCTTTAAAACATTTTTATTACATTATACTATTTATTTTTAAGTGACTCTAATGTCTTCATCAGAATTTCGGTTTGTAATTTTAAATTAATCATTACTTGGTTGTGCATCTACGAGGCTTCTCCAAAACTACTTGCTTTCTGCAACAAATAAGAGAATATTAATTTAAGCTCTGTCCATGCAAAACTTAAAATTTTTTATAATTTATATTATAAATTTTTTAACACATTTATATTAATATAATTATATAAATGTGTTAATAATATAATTTGTAGCACATGCTACAGACCTGGATAGCAACTTTCTTTTATTCTATTTAGAGATAGAGATAATTTAAATATAATACCGGTGTCTTCCTTGTAGGTTTCTTTGGAGTTGTTTGGGGATTCTTGTTGTTCAGTTCGACATGATTTTCTTTAACCTTTCTTTAATCCTACAAAATAATGAAATTGTTAAGTTATGTTGTCACTGTTGTGCACACCTTTGTTTGGCTTTTTTAGTATTCAAGTTATGTCAAAACTGATTTATTACCTTGTCATTGTTGGCTTTATTTGCTTTTGGGATATCAATTGTTTCCAAAATGATTTTATTTGTAATAACCTGAAATATATAAATAACATCTATTAATTTAAGTATCATGGTGAGTGGTTCGCACTCAGGTATTAAGGTGTATTATACCCACTGTCCATTATAAGTGGGAATGGGCTCACTTCTGGCAGGACAGAGTTTCGGTACTACAAGTGCAACATGGATGTTTTGAGGTATTACAATATCTCTAACTACCCTGTAGGGGAATAAAGTAATGTTGTAAGCATATGCCTATGCTTGAAAGGTTGAACCTTGAACATCACCATACATCATATTTATAATTAACATTCCTACCTCGACACCATCACAATCAAATTCATTGAAATCTACTTCAAACCATTGTGTCTCGAGAAGGTGATGGTGGCTTTGTTCCACCTCCAGTTTGTGATGTTTCACGGCGATAAGATGACAACTCTTTTTTTGTATTCAATTTAGTGCACTTCCACTGATTCATCAATTGTTTTTTGTCTCTTGTCCTTATATTTGCTAGATTAAATCTGATGTTTTGATTAAATAATGTGGTCATTTTTTTGAGATGCAGGTACTTATTAAAATGTTTACTTCTCTGTTATATCGCTACAAGCCTTCATTTTCTCCTTATTAGTATTCGTGCTTAAATCTTTGTTCTCAATTATTGATATATAGGGTCGTAGAATATTTCTAAAAAGTTGCTGTAACAAACGCAATAAACAAAAGCAATGAATAATGGTTCATGTTTCAGTTTTAATCAACAATAATACTCGATAATACATACGGATAGTTAACCTCAATTGTATTGAAGCACTCAGGAAGGTTAGCACAGTTTTTTCACAAATATTTTATATTATTTCACAAATATTTTGTATAATGAAAATAACTAGGTATATAATTATTAATTTTAAACAATAATTAAAACTCCTATATTTGTTTAAAAGGTAAATGTCATTGTCAGATGTCAATTGTCATGGTCATTCAAAATTCTTGTTAAGCTGCTAAGCTAGAATATGCGTGAAGTTAGCTTCACGCATATTCTATTTCTTTTTACTTGTAGTTTGTCTTATTCCCATCTCGCTCGCGCACGCTATATCACACTGCCAATTTTGTGTCATAGGTGCGCGCGCAATCGTAAAATTTCACTCTCATCAATTTTTCATAACGCGCCTAAAGAAGTACAACTTCAAAAACAGAGGATACCTAGAGATCGTGGTTTTTTTTTGTATTTGGTACCTATAACAAATAGTAGGTATTTTTTTTAAACTAGTTATTGCTTTTTAGCCTCTACCATCGATAAACCTGGACTATTATGGAAACCTAGCTTCGTATCTATACAGCTCCTGGGATAGCGACTCCGATGAGGATCTGCCTACATCACCGGCTCCAAGTAAAAAGAAAAAGAAAAAAGTAGTTGGTAAGACATCTTAGATTATTATAAAACGCTTAGCTTAGTAACATTCTTTAAGATCTTTTTTTGTTTTCAGAAAACAAACCCCGCAATTTGCCGTGTCTGTATCACGATGCCCACTTCAGTCCGTCATCAGCGTACTTCGTGCTGGAGTGTCTTGGACCTGGTGTACCCACTTCAGGTCTCTACAAAACTGCTCTGCCTGAACCAAGGCTCATCATGCATTTGGAGAATAATACATCAGTTAAGGTAAAAATATTCAACATTCTCAAAATAACTGTACCCTATTCAGTTTCTCAAAAATCGATTATTTTTTTCAGAGAATAGTGCCTAGAAACTAAACACACAAGTTTTTCTTGTCACTAGAAAATAATGAAATATTTTTTGATATAAAAGAAATAATATTTATATGTATTAATAATAAAAGATAGCCTGTCGTTTTATTTTGCGTGCTTATAAAGTGTTTTATATAACATATACAGACTTTTCAAAGAATATGTATATGTGGTTTTATCTCTTAGTCCTTTTTTTTTTTTTTAAGACAATTCACACCAATTGACCTAGTCCCATGCTAAGCTGGTGAAGCTTGTGTTATGGGTACTAGGCAACGGATATACATACATATTATAGATAGACACATAAATACATATTTAAACACCCAAGACCTAAGCTCAACACCAAATGCTCATCACATCGATGTTCGATGATCGAACCCGGGACCCATGGATTCGCAGTCAGGGGTACTAACCACAAGACCAATGAGTCGTCGAAGTCGTCTTTATTATTAATGTTGAAGCAATGGTGTTAGTGTCAGCTGCTATTGTCATTATCATTTAATAACACCAAAGTCAAATTGGTTCAAAACCGTTCGTTAATTTATAGATCTGGCAACATCCGACATATGTTTAATTTTTAATTTATTATTTTATTACAGGAACGACTTTCAGGCATAGCTTTACCAACGCCTAGAACTTTCTCAGTACAGCTTTCAAGTGGTCACGCGGCGCGGGTGAGGCTTTTATTGCCTCCGGGGCTAAGAGAAGATGAGGTCACGAAGTATCCTCTGGTGCTTAAAGTGTAAGTACTTAGTATTTCTATCTGTAGACCATAGATTTGCTAGTCAAATTATAAAAATATATTTTTTATTTCAAGTAAATTTTTATGTCAAGTAGGAGCAGTATTGGCCTAGTGGCTTCAGCGTGCGACTCTCATCCCTGAGGTCGTAGGTTCGATCCCTGTGCACCAATGGACTTTCTTTCTATGTGCGCATTTAGCATTTTTTCGAACGGTGAAGGAAAACATCGAGAGGAAACCGACATGTTTTAGACCCAAAAAGTCGGACGGCGTGTGTCATGCACTGGGGGCTGATCACCTACTTGCGTATTAGATTTAAAAAATGATCATGAAACAGATTCAGAAATCTGAGGCCAAGACCTAAAGAGGTTCTAGCGCCACTGATTTATTTAATTTTTTAAATTTTTATGTCAATATCTTTTAAATTAAAATACAACACAAGAATAAAGTGTCTTCCATTTAGGGGCCGTTCAAGTATTACTAGGACTATAGAGAGGGGAGGGGGGTCTTTCATTTATTTGGTGATTACTTCAACAGTAATTATTTACTTTTTTACACATATTACCCACACATTGTCTATGCTTGAAAACGGAATGCATTTTCGAGGATTCCTACAAAAAATTAATACGTTTATGTACTATTATTTTTGAAAGCTTTGCTTACTTTTGCTGACAAGAGGAGGGGGGGGAAATCAGCTTACGTAATACTAGAACGGCGCCTTATTAGAGACTGTAGATAGTGTTATTGGACACTTTCTTATGTTAAATATCCTTATTAGTGCATAGGTTAAACTTAAATTACTTATTACTCTTAAGTAAGACTAGATCGTAATATTCCATGATGTCGTCTTCAATCTTTTATATAATTAAAGGTCCAAAATACCTATTTTATTTTTTTATCCAGTATCGAAACTAATGTAAATTTATAGAAAATAATGTTAGTTTTAGTATACATTTTGTTTATTTATGTTTAGATTTGAATATTTTATTTTCTTGGCTCAGAAAAAAAAGTGTTTTAATTCAGGCACGGAGTACCAGGTACACAGCTAGTAACAGAGGAGTGGAAGTTAGATTGGGGCTCTTTAGCCTCAAGCGGAGGTGCCATATTAGCAATGGTGGATGCTAGAGGTGCTGGCGGAAGAGGTCTTGCGGCTCATCATGCCTTACACAGACGTCTAGGGACTGTCGAACTGGCTGATCAGCTAGAAGTATCAGAGTAAGTTAAAATAATGATATAACTAAATATTGTATAATAAATTCAGAATAATATAATTGTTGTTACTGTGTCTTCATAGTACGTAGCTATGATTGTTAGTGGTTATTTATAGGCAAACGGGCAGGAGGCTCATCTGATGTTCAGTGATACCGCCGCCCATGGATACTCAATGCAAGTGGGCTCGTTACCGACCTTTTAAGAATTGGTAGGCTCTTTTCTAGAAGGATAAGTGGAATTGGCTGGCAGTGTGCAGCTGGTTTCACATAGAGGTGGTGTGCGGCAGAAACTGCCGTAAAAAACACTCAGTTGTGAAACGGCGGACGTCGAGGTGATACGGGTGAAATTTTGGAGGTGACTTAATCTCTAATTAAAGAAACAGTACTTATCAACACAGTTGTCCAGTAACATACCTACAGAAAATATCGATTCTACGAATGATTTTTTTACATACATATTATATAGATAAGAATTAAATATTTTATACCCTCTTATAGATACCTCCGTGAATCCCTTCACTTCGTAGACGGGCGTCGAGTAGCCGTCTGGGGCGAAGGCCACGGGGGTTTTCTCGCTGCGCTGGCGCTGGCCAGTACGCTGAATGTCTTCCACTGCGCTATTGCTATTAGTCCTATTGTACGCTGGCGGTATTACGGTAAGTGACAAGTAGTTGCTGTTAATTGTATATTAAATATTCTTACCAAAAAGTAAGTTATTTATCTTAATATATATAAATTACGTGTCACGTTGTTTGTCTGCTATGGACTAATAAACTACCGAACCGATATCAATCAAATTTGCACACCGTGTGGAGTTTGATCCAACTTAAACGATAGGATATCTCAATTTATACCCGCAATATTATTTTATTACAAAATGTTTGTTTATTATTTGATAGTCACAATTCTAACAGATGGCGCTGTATTGAAAGTACCAACGTTTCACATAAGCTACAATTTAATTTCATAACCACCAAAAAAGCATGGTGGTCCCCATGACTGGTGTTCTCCTACCGTTTCCCTTCAATAGTTTTCTACTATGTAATATAACAAAAACCTTAGCCACAGCAACGCTTGGCCGGTCTGCTAGTATAATATATATAATAACTAAGATACTATTTTTCCGTTTAAGATGTGAAGTCTTGTACTCCTAAATACGACTTATATTTACTTAGTTGCTTTGAATACAGCTTCAGCATACGCGGAGCGGTATATGGGTTTCCCTAACGCAACAGGCAACTACCGTGGGTATGCCGATGCAGATGTGACCAAACAGGCCCTCGCTTTGAGAGACAAGATGCTGCTACTGGTACATGGTACCGCTGATGATACTGTGCACTTGCAGCAGACTATGGCGCTGGCTAGGGCGTTGGCTGAGCAGGGTTCTATGTTTAGACAGCAGGTATGGTGCATATATTATATAGAGCCTATTTTAAATCCGTTTATTCCATATTCAAAATTGTAATATTTTAAAATTCAATGACTAAAGCATGTGCTACACGGTATGAAACGGCAGTTTGAAACGAAATAAAAGCGAGTTGCGCTTTTCGGCTACACGGTTTAAAACCAACAGTGTCCAAAATAACGTTGCGCTGATAAGACGTCTCCGTAGGGATGTGACATTCTGCATAAAAAATAGATTTTTTATTAATCGATAATTTTTTTATAATGAAAAATCGATTAATAAATAATCGATTTTTTTTATTAATCGATTTTTTCCTAATTTTTGAATCAATTTCAAAATAAACACCCTAAATTTTTTATTTTTCATGTTTTTTTTAATTAAAAGTAAACAATAGAAATTATAAACACAAATTAACGTTTAAGAATAATCAAAATCGAAATTAACTAAATCTCGTTTTGATAGATTTTAGGTAAAATTTGATAAATGCTGAGTGTATGCCTTTTCAGTAGCACATTGCAGTATTTTTGTTGTATTTTTAATTGTATGTAGTCTTGTGCTGCTGAATAAATTTATTTTACTTTTAAGTTATAGTTTTATCATCCTATCAAAAAAACAATACATCTTCAAAGAATCGGATTCAATGTATCGCATTGTAAACATCGTTGTATATCGAATATCCCTAATAGTTCGAGGTCCGGGTTATAAAATACCAGACATAATGTCGGGAGGTGGCAGATAAAAAATCGACTATGATTGATTTTCAATTATAAAAATAATCGATTATTTTAAATATAAAAATCGCGTAAAAAATCGATTTTTTTTCACATCCCTATCCCAAAGACATGGCAATTCTCTGTATAATTCGAGCAATTCGGTAATAACTTCACGTTCATTTGCTTCTTGTGCCATTGTGCAGAACGTCGTCGTCGCGTGCGTCTACGCTCGCCGCCGCAGCACGACTGCCGAACGCGTGGTTTTAAACAAGCGGCTAGACTGTTTCAAACCAACGGTTTTGGTCTCGGTTTGCAACGCAAAGCGTGCTGCCAAGGTCATATTAAGGTTAAACGAAATTTGGCATAAAACAACTATCCACACGGTTTGAAACCAAAGTTTCAAACCGCCGTTTCATACCGTGTAGCACATGCTTAAACATCATAAACAGTTTTTTTCTTTTTTTGGCTCTGGTACGGTTTTGTGAATTAGCCAGCGTCAAGTATAAGATTTTAATAATTCGCCCAACTCGAAGTGGAAGAAAAATAAAAATGATAATACAATACAACAATTACAAATACATATATTATATATAATCGAAGGTTTCCCGCCACTATAGTGATAGTTGGTGATGATTTTATCAAATTTATTTTAAAACCGACCAATCCAAACAGGAAGATGTATTTTGAATAGTAAACTTCATAACTGGGAACGAATACTAACAAATAATAAACCACAAACAATTCTTACAGATCTACCCAGACGAAGGACACACCTTAGACGGAGTCAGGCGTCACTTATACCGTACAATGTCCACATTTCTGGACGAATGCTTTAGGAAGCAGGTGCCTCCTGAGACCAAGGCTGGTCTTCGCAATGGTGGAAACCTTGACTGAGGAACGTGGGGCGAGGAGGAGCTGTACTCTTGGTAAGATATAGAAAGACCACCACTATTTTAAGAATTACTTAGATTGGCTTATATAATATGAATGTCTAAAATCGCTATACATCATGGTTTATGTACATATATTCTTCATTAGTTATAAAAAAAATTTATTAGTTACTAGCCCAATTGGTGTGTTCTATTCCCAGCGAAGCAATAATGTGGTTGACTAATCGACTATTTATTTTCCTAAAAAAATAAGACTGTCGCGGGCAATAATTATGACAGTTGACTTTTGTTCATTCAAACAAAAGTCAACTGTCTCATTCAACAGCTACAGAAACGTTTGAAGTTACTGTTTCAGTTCCAAGCTATATTGGCTCTTTTATACATTTTCAGGTAACCTGAATAGGACTTCTTGTTATTTGAAAACCTTTAGTACAATTGTATCCATATCCTCGTGTGGTTCAACATTGATTTGGGACTTTCTACTTCTTAAGATTGTTTAGTGCTATTTAAAAATATCTGACTATTAAAATAAATTTGCTTAGGTATAGCCCGATCAATGAAATTAAAAACCTGCTCTGAGGGCGCTAATTCTCTATGATTGCAACCCTTAGGAACTAGTGTACACATATTTTAATATAATTATTTATTGCAGAAATAAAGTTTAATTTACAAGAGTTTATATGTTTTAAATGACACTGACAACCAATAATGACATCTTTAAGATTGTTGCCGTTTGATAGTTCATAATTCCGATTCCACAACATGGTGAGGTTTTTTATTTTATTGGTCTGGCTTAGTCATTTGGGATTTAACGAAGAATCACGAAATCACGTCAAAAATTTATAAATAGGAAAGGGTATTAAGCGCCATTTTGTGTTAGTGATTAAACAATCATGCACAGATTTTGCATCTGTGGGCTTAAACTGTGGTAGTCTCTGGACCTAGAACAAAATCCGTAAACCCTTTCTTCATTTATCTATTCCGACATTTCTCTTTATGAAAAAAAAAGATGTGGATATGGAAGTGTTTTTTATTTCCAAGGAAATGCAGAGGCTCTATATTCTTCGGAATGAATGATGTTGAGTGAAAATAATCCTTTAAATTAAATAATTAGAATAAATTAGAATTGATCTATCGTCAATGATTTGTGATCTTAGTAAATATTTAGTGTTAGTAGTTGTTTTGCTTTGCCTTGTATGGACCAAGATGTAAAAGAAAGTGTTAAGAAGAAAGATTTCCAGCCTCCTTATTATTGAATACCAAAAATATATTTAGCTTAGAGCTAACATAATTTTAGTTTAAAAACCCTCTTTGATAAAACTTCCTAGAATAGCTTCCAAAAAAATTATGATTTCTTTATATTTTAATGGCAATTAACTTTAACTTTTTAACGTTCTTATTTAATTGGGGTGGGGGGGGGGCTGTATAATATCTTTCTGAAATCCCATTATTTTGAAGTATGTTTATTAGCGCCATTAATTAGATTTCACGTTAATATATCAAACCGAGGAAGCAAACAGCCTGGAAAGATAATTCCGTGTAAATGCGTCGCCCAAAAGTAAATTAATACTAAACTGTAACAAATAATTTAAGAATAGATTGATTTTATATTTTTAATTGTTTGAAGTGTATATATTTTTTTTTCCTTTTAAATCCATCTGCAATCAGCCTCATGGCTTTTATCAGATTTTATGGAAAATGATGGCAATTAGGGAACGCATAACGTATATGTATTTAAAGAGACTTTTTCGTAATATGTGTTGCATTCATAAGATGGTTCGATTGAAGAAATGGGCATTGGCCTTGTTTTAATTTAAATGCGAATTTAGATTAAGTATGTAAATACAATGTAAGATAATCGTCATTTCAGGTAGATAGTCTGTCTTTTTACAATTGAAAGTTCTAATAAAATTAGTATTTTAAACTTGCTATAGAAGCGAAATAAATTTAATACCAAATTTATTGTTATCAACCGATTTCTTTCCTTATAAATAGGTTAAATTTTTTTTTAAAGATTCATAGTCGACACTATCGAATTATGACTCGCTTTCTTGTCAAAATCCAATACGTTTATGACATTTGGAAGTCTGTGGTAAGTCTCGACTCTGACGATACCATTAGCAATTCAAATTGTTATCGCTTTGGAAAATGATTTCTAAAATTACCAGTGTTATTTGTTTGTGTATTTAGTTAGCGGGACATAATTTGTCGATACGCAGAATTTGTTGTTTAATAACTACAAATTCTACCTAGGGGGCGTATGAATTAATATTCATGGTTTTAGTCCGAACTATGACGCCCCCTTTCTATAGTAAACCCCCTTATAACATGGTACTCCTATAACGCATTTTCATATATCAGTCCCTCGGATAACACGGATTCTAACATATAACGCGGGGATTGCACATGTTACATTTATGTACTGTAACATTTATAATGATTTCTACGCACTTATTTCGTTCAAATTCCCTTTAACGATAAAAGTTAAACGTGAATCATTTGTACATAACGCGCTATGGAATCATAAAAGCGCGTTATGCGAGAATACTCCTACATCACGTTTCCTATAACGCGGAACCAATCTTCCTTGTTATAAGAGGGATTACAGTATATCCAAAATGTTTTTAGTTTAAAAACAAGACTTAGCGTGAGCTTCAGAAAAGGGACTTACTGATTCTGAATGTTTAACCATTATCTCTAAGTCTGACTTCATTACGTCAAAAATGTATTTTGACATAAGGGAGTCATAGTTACGGTCTTGAATCCCCCCACGAATATACGCGTAAACGTTTTTCCATCAAAAGTTCGTTATGTTAGTGTTTTGGTATACATTTATTTTAAGGGTTGATATTGGCGCATTGACTAGGTACCAATATTTTAAATATAAGTTTCATATTGTAATTTCGTAAATTTATTTAAATTTAGACACTGATCAAATTATTTACATAAAGGATTTTAAATTGTAGATATTAAAATTAGTAACGACCAATAGTGATTTAATATATCTTAAAGTTTTTGACTAATTAGTACATTTAAATAGACCTTAATAGTGCTTTAATAATTCTAGATTAAGCTAAATAGCAATAAATAGTTGATACATTTTTAAATCATTCTTCCATTGGCACGTTTTAACTATATGCAATTATCTTAATAGAAATTAATTAAGTTTTCAACGATAATTTAATAGAGATAATAGTAGATACTTCTTGCAGTAGCTTGACGGTTTAACATAGCATTTAAATACAAAATAAATCTGCCTTAAATATTTGTATGAAATATAAATGCTGCCAGTGATGCGCAGAAACTAAAACTTTAAAAAAATGCACGCCGAAGTATTTTCGTTTAGATTTAATCTTTTGACTAAAAAATTAAAATGTTTTTATTAAAAACAAGCATATTTTACCGTGGCGGAAAGTTTACATGTTTTTCAATTCATTCTGGATGTCCAAAATCTGTGGTAGCTGCTTTAAATGGCTGTTCTGTAGGCGCGGTTGTCCCATTATAAAACAATGTTGGATTTAAAGAAAGTTAAAATTGTATAATTATGTAATTATTATTCTCAATCGCTGGCGCAAAAGAGCGAATATTTTCAGATCGTATGCCTAAATTTAAAAAACAAATTGTGCGACCCTACTCATCTGTCAAACGACGAAGGCAATTTGCTAGAGTGGGTAAGTCGGTATATACAGACATATGAGATATCAAGTATAATCTGTGTACGACTGATAAAACAGCATAAAACAAAAGTCCGGGATGGTTCTCTGTATAAATCACGAAGCTATTGCTCAATAAATTACTGAGAATAATTTCTCTGATTTAAAATTTTGAATAATTAAATTAACTTAATTATAAATATTGCACAAGTGAGACATAACCTAAGTGCCAAACATTGTGTTTCCTAGGTGAAGATGCATGTAGAGATTATATTAGAGATTTACTTACACGTTTTAGAATGGGTGAAATATTGGTTCCTATAAATATAATATCCGAAATCCTGTTGCTTGTATAAGCCTTAAAATAACAGTCTGTTATTTTAAGGCTTTGTAGAAAATTAGTTTCACATTTTTTTAGAACACACGTATTAAAAGGTGAACCTCCATAACCAAGAAACAAAATTGTTAAAATTCTTTAAGGTTGTCTATTATTTTGAAACCACGTTCAAAAAGGTTAACATGAAAATGTAACCATGAAAAGTAATCTTTTTAATGTTGTCTTTGTCGATAAGTTATTGTATAGAGCGATCCTTTTGACCAGAAATTCAGCTTTATCTAATCGACGAGCAAACAGGGCATATATCGGATAAGAGTAATTACCCTTATTAGTTCACTTCTAAAGTTGCTATTTTTAATTTATTACATACTAAGCGCACATTTATTACAATTGATATTTCTTAATGCTCAAAGCCACTCAGTCAGTATTATAAAAAACTTATGTTATAGTAACTTTAGATATGTCATAGGATCGTTTTAATAATTCGTTATTTAATTGGTTATCGTTAACTTGGCCTTGACAATCACTTTTGACAGGTGTCAACCAGTAAAGCTAAATGAATTTGTATGGCATTGACATTAGCTCACGTTTTGTCACGTGACCATTTTCATAAAATATCGTTTGGCTTTTGAAATGATTTTGTCTCAAGCCCCTGTAACGAAACAATATCGAAGCTAACAATATGCTATAATTAAAATCTTCTCGAAGTACCTGGGCGTAAATGTCTATTATATAATTTACAGTAAGATTACAGTAAAACAATCTCCATTTAGATTCCTGAGAATATATCGCGTTTCTGTTTTATAAAATGATCCTACAACATAAATATTCAATCATCTATTTCAATTGTTAAATATTTGTTATGTATTTAGAATTCGGAGTTATTAGACTCCAGATCTTCTCTTGTTATAAATTATGTACCTAAGTGAATCGTTATTGCTTCAAATTTTATTTACTTACTGTTAACACTTCATTCATATTTTCATGAAGTTATTCTATCGTAATGTGAATTTC